CGAGCAACACCACCGGCCGATAGCCCGCTGGAGAGTCCGCCGGGCGGCCCTCTTTACGGAGCAGGCAGAGCCGCCCCTCTCTCCAGCGCCTGGGGAAGCGACCCGATGCGATGCATATATCCAGCACCGCGCGGAATCGGTCCCCCAGGGGGCCCAAGGCGATCGCCATCACCTTGGCTGGGGCCCCATCCGGCCCCGGAGCCTTGTTACGGCTCCGGAGCCTGTCCCTCACCATGTCGAACTCAGCGTCCGACACGGAGGGACCAGCGGCCCACGCCTCCGGGGCGAAACCAGAGGCCATCCTGGGGGGTGCGAAAGGTCCTGGGTTCGGAAAAAGCGCCCCCAGTACCCTTCGCAACAACCCTGGCTCCATACAGGACGTTGAGGGGGCCGCCGAAGCGAACTTACCCCTAACCGCCCTGTACGGCTTCCCCCAGGGGTCGCTATCTAGGATAGCTATGTAACTATCCCAGGCAGCGACCTTGGCCCTGCAGATGGCAGTTCGCAGGGCCGTGTGGGCCTCATTGTACGCCCGGCGGAGGCTTTCCTCCTCACCGGGCGTTCTCCGGGCGCGCCTACGGCACCGTAGGTAGGCGCGCCTGGCCTCCATACTGGCGGTACGCAGGGTCGTGAGCTCCTGCGTCCACCAGTAAACCTGCCCCCTGCTCCGTGGGCAGGCCCGCGCCCTCGGCATGGCGGCACTGCAGACGGCGTTGATGTCGTCTGCGAACAGGTCCGCCATGCCGTCGGCATCCCCGGCGACAGTGTCGGGCACTTCAGACCAAGCCCGCACTGTCGCCGCCTCCTCCGCCACATCAGGCTGGAGGCGTGTGAGCATCCAGCGCCTAAACGGTGAGACGCCCACACGGGGGCCCAGATGAGAAGGGGCCCCAGGGAATGCCGTGGAGACCTCGTATCGGACGTATCTGTGGTCCGATAGGCTCTCCATGTCCACCACCACCCGCCAGTCCCGGACCCGGGCCGCGAGCGGTGGGGTGGCAAAGGACACGTCGATTAGAGACGTGCCCTGCCAGCGGGCGAAGGTCGGGGTGGTACCTCGATTGAGGATCTGGAGCCCCAGAGAGAAAGCCCAGGACTCCAGAATACCACCCCGAATGTCAGTGCGGGGTGACCCCCACGCCGTAGACTTGGCGTTAAAGTCCCCTGCCACCAGTACCTGACGGGGGGCCGCGCGGTGGACGACCCCTTCGACCGCAGCCAGAAACCGCTCAAAATCGGCTCTGCTGCGGTTAGGGGAGAAGTAGGTCGACACTACCACTACTTCTCCCCATCGGGCCGCCACATACCCCTCTCCTCTTTCCACGAAAACGAGGGAGGAGCCCGCGCCAGTAACCACGACTGCCGCGGAGCCATCTACCGCCCCCATCCACCTGTCGGACGGGGGGATGCGGTACGGCTCCGAGACGAGCACCACGTCCACCCTCCACTCCGCCGCCACCTGACACAGGAGGTCCTGTGCCCCAGCGCAGTGGTTTAAATTAATTTGTAGTATCTTCCCCGATGTCCTATAGGGCATTATTAACGGACATCGGGGTCGCTACAGAAGCCGATACCGGCTGTGCGCTGCTGGGCCCTGCACGAGGTGCGGCCTGCGACGCGTCCCTGGGGGGTGCCCCTATATGGAGAGGGCGGCCCCTGACCAGCGGGGGGGTTACATTTGGCCCCCGCCATCCGGTGCCCGGCTACAAGTCCTCTGTCCGCGCACACGTCGCAGTGCGGCGGAGCAGAGCAGCCCTTGGCTTTGTGCCCCTCTTTGCCACAGCGGTAGCACAATCCACTGCGGTCCTTTTTGGAGGGGCATTTGGCCCCTGGATGCCCGGGCGCCAGGCACCTATGGCACCTCATTGGGCGCCGTTCCAGGAGCCGGACCGTCGCCTCAAACCAACCGACCTGTAGCCGCCCTTCCTTCACAATCTTGGCGACCGCCTCCACCGGACATGAGACGATCGCCGAGCCCGCCCCTCTTGGACCACTGGAAACTGCCCCCACCTTTATGGTCTCAGGGGTGCAGCCGGCCTTTGTTGCCAAAGCCGCCCTCAGCTCATCGGGTGTCGTAGCATCATCCAGCCCCGACACCCGGACCTCTGCCGTCTTGGTAGGCCTTGAAACCTTAGCCGACTCACCTAGGGCCTCTCTCACTTTAGCCGCCAGTGTGTCTGCCTGGGCCGCCGTGGTCCCGGACGGGAGCTCAATAATGCGTGCTCCTGTTATTGTCGTCCGGAACTTCGCTGGGCCAATGCCCAGCTCCCCCAGGTTGACCGACTGTCTGGCCTTGGTCAGGGCATCCTTATAGGTGGCCCCCCCGGCCACCGCCTCCGGTTTGAGGGCCACGACCACCGCCATCGTTTTCGGTGGCTTCGGGAACTTAGGGACCTTTTTCTTCCCGGCCTTCTTCTTTTTAGGCTTTTGGGCCGCAGAGGTGGGTATTTGGGCCGGTGCCGGAGCCTTCTTTGGCTTTCCCCCCTTTCCCACTGCCACCCACTGTCCCTCAGCCACTAGTGGCGCGCTCCCGCTTGGAGTCGGGTCAGCCGCCGGCCTTTCCTTCCTCACAGTAGGAGGAGTGGGAGTGGAAACCTCTGGTGTTGCATTCTCTTTTTTCCTGCTCTTTCCCTTGCCCTTACCCTTGCCTTTGCCTTTACCCTTGGCCTTCTCGGGCATGTTGGCGGGCGGGGTAAGGGTTGTAGGGGCATTCGCACTACCCCCAGCCGGCCGCGCAGTCGTTGGCGGCTTCTGCGCTGCGGCCTTTGTATCCGCGGCCAAGGGCGGGCGGCGCGGTTTGACAGAGGTGGGCAACAGCCGGCCGTCGACCTCCAGGCCCTCTAACCTGGCCTGGAGCATGTTGCCGAACTGCTGCATCAGAGAGCTCTGCTCCCTCCTCAGCTCCTCCAACTCCCTCCTCACCATGGAGACCGCCTCCCCTCCAGTGCCCCGAGGGGTTTCCACCACAATGGGCGCAGCTGGTTCCTTGCAGCGCCCTGACCTCGACTCCTCAAAGGCCTTTCTGAAGGCGGCGAGCTCAGCGGTAACTTTGCTGAGTTCTTCTTGCAGGCGCTTGTTGTCCGCCTGCAACCGCTTAACCTCCTCTGACGTCTGCCTGTTTGCCAGGGCCTCGACCACCGCCAGCAGGGAACCCGCGCCATGCTTGATGGCCTTTTGGCACGTTCCCTTCAGGTGCCGGGACTTCTTGGTCAGGACCCTCACCACCTCAAAGTGTTTCTGGGCCGCCTTCACCAGGGCATCCGTGGTCATCTTGCCCGGTTCGAATTCGGCCTCGCCTTCACCGTCGCTCTCAACGTCGGTATACTCGACACCGGAGCTCGAGCTCAGGGCCCACTCTGCCTCCTTGAGCTCCTTACGGGCCTGAGACAACTCCGCCCCATGCGACTTCTTACTACAGCCGCCTCTTCCACCTCTGCTGCCTCCCTTCCCTTTATGAATTTTTGGGTCTTCCGGCGGAGGGTCCTTCATAAACTCTGCCACTCTCCTCTTTTGACCTGCGACTGTACCTCTCTTCGTCGCTAGGTCCATCTCTGAGCTCGCTCTGGAGCACATCCCAGAGCCCAGGCTCACCTGCCTCGAGGCCTGACTGGACATACTCCTGGTCACCCTTCTCTCCACCCGATTCGGAGACAATTCCAACCTCTCCGATGACTCCGGCCTATCCAGGCCCTCCAAACAGATTTAACACTGGCCATCCGAGAAAATGGCGAGCGCCCGTGGTCAGCGGGGTCGTATGACCGAGTGTCAACTGACACGAAGCAGTCTTGGCCTCTCCCAGATACGTGAGGCCTGCCGCCGACCGAAGCCGACGGGAGGGATTCTCCGTCCTTGACGGTACCCTCCTGGGTTACTGAATTTTTAAGATCTGCCATCATGAAGTTGTTTCGTTTTTTACCGGGTGACGACTCCCGTATAACTCCCACGCCTTCTAGTGCTAGGGACCAGACTCCCTCTGGCCACTCAACCCATCACCACACTCACACAGCTTGGGTTTGGGGCTTTTTTATTGAGGTGTGCTCCTCTCAGGCTGGACCTCCGTGGCCCAGCCCCCTGGCCCTCTCAGTGAGGGTAACAGGTTTCCCGACGGGGTCCTGTCACACAGAGTCCCCGCCGCGAGACAGCTCAGAAGCTGAAACACCTCCTCCAGTCCCGCCTACGCAGGGCGAGTTCGCGGCCACAGGCCGCCACCCACCGACCAATGGGTCCGCTGGCCCCCCAAGGGGGAGCCCGTCACCAACGGCGCAACCGCCACGGGCAAAAACGCCCCTCCACGATTTTTTATTGAGGTTGTCTCCTCGCGACCCGGGCAAAAGCCCCGCCGGTCCCCGGCCCCTCAGTGGGGTAACGGGTGGCCCGACGTGCCTCCGGAGTCCGGGCGGCACGCCGCGCAGCCGCATCCCGCAAACACTCCGCGACCGCGGAGTGAGTCGAGAGCGGCCTCGCAGTTGCTGTCCGCGCCGGCCGAAGCCGGTACCCCCCATATCTGGAGGGCGTTCCCCTATCCGCAACCCGGGGGACGCGTCCGGCAGCGATACTGCGGAGATCGCTTCCCTCTCCACAGAGAGGGCGGATAATAATTAGGTACCTAGTGTATGTAATGCAATTTCACTTCGCTTCGGTGTAGTTCTATGTCATTGTTCCGTGCTTTCAATAACTAAAAACTTTCTGTAAAAACCAATAAAAAATCTTTTTCTGATAGTGTAAACCATTTCGACTAGTTATAGATACTCTAATGTAAACCACGTAGCCTTAGATAAAAATCTAAGCACAGAACAGTAAAAAAGGAACCATATCAAAATCCGTTCAAACCCCGTAGCTTGAGCAACTCAATTTACGTTTTACTATATCACGTTTTTTATCGCGTCTAACTGTCAAACTCCATTGTAATGTGACAATTGAACGTGATAAAACGAGTTTTATAACAAACATATCGCAGTGCTCATGCTCATGCTCATGCTCATGGAAGTTTTAGATTATTGCGAACATTAAAAAAACTGACAGCCGCAGTGGGCAAACTTTTTTTAGGTTTGGCTTTGTTTAAATTCGTGATTTCATGATTTAGTCGTTATTACTTTTTATAAAATGCCGAAAATGCCATTAATTTTACCAGTATTTCATTCCGTAAAACGAAACGTAGCTAATTTTATAACGTCAAAATACCAAAACAAAAGTGAAGTTCGCGCGAGCCTCAAAGAAAGGATGGCTCTTCGGTCTGTGATGTCGTCGAAAATACCATTGATTGTGATTTTAGGTGCCACAGGTACAGGGAAAACTAAACTAGGTGTGGAACTAGCCCAAAGATATGGAACCGAGATCATTAGTGCGGATTCCATGCAGGTAAGTCGTGTTGTAAATGCAAAACATAACCTATAAAATCTTCACGACTTGTTTTGGCACTAAAACAATTTTATCGGTCAAAGCTATGTTATCAATATATTGATTGTATAAGGAATACCTTTTGTTTATATGTTTTAAAGTAAAGTTCGATACCAAATATTGAATTACGTGACAAATTTCAGTTTTAGAAAACAGGTATGTGATGCAAGTTTTATACTAACAATAGGAGATTTATACAGTTAAAAATATATCGTAAAACGCCATATTTATATTATATTATTTAAGCAATATAAATAATTATTTAGTCAACACTTAATTTAGAAAAGATACCGATTAATTGAAACTCATTGAATATAAAACCAGGGAAATGTTGTAGATAATATAATTATATTAAAAATGAGAACTTAAAAGCCTATCTAATTTATCTGTGCTACAACTTTTTTTATATTTTTCTACAAGGTGCAGCAAATTACCTTACCCTATCTGATAGGCTACACTCATTTTCATCACGTTGACCTGATTTTATTCCATTGCTATGTATTAGATATATTAGAGTCCTAGAACCTTACTCACAAACAAACACAACACCGCCAAAAGCTAGTGGTATTATACTTTAGTCACTAAAGTACAAGGCGCCATTACAATACACTAAAGTTTAGTGTATTGTAATGGCGCCTTGGTTATTAGTCGGAATACGAGTGCCTATGGAATTTGAGAAAACAATACTGTAAATGCAAAGAGGCGAGTACAGCCATTTTTGAGTAGTTTTCGTTTTGGTTACCTGACACTGTTTTCCAGCCCGTATTCCAGTGTAAATATTACTTCAGATGCAAATGCAATTTTTTCTAAGGGTGGCAAACAAGCATTTGGCCCTCCAGATGGTAAGCAGCCACCATATCCACTTGGGATACAAAAAATATCACTTGCAATATTGCCTTCCCTGACCCAACCCCATACTCTGTGGAGTCCTGTATCCTAATTCACCGACAGATTCAAAAAACCACCAGAAGGTAGTGTTATTCTACTGTGATCTTTTTAATATATATATAAATAAATAAAATCTTCTAACGGGGTGACTGTAGAATCATAATATTAATATGGTGATCAAGGCACCATAAGGGATGTTCATATAACCCTTTCAGACCTGACGTTAAAGGCTTAAGAATTTTAAAATGTTAGTTACTGTTTCTCGCTAATTTGGGGTCGCTGAAAACGAATTTGAGACTGAAAAGAATCTAGAAAAACGGAAAATCGGTTTTTCAGGATGCTCATAATTGTGGGGGACCGGGCCAAGTTTTGGAATACTCACGGTTGTGAGGGTTGTTAAATAAATACCATTTAGTACAGAAAGTTAATTTTAATCATCATTAAACATTCAAAATTAATATTAACTGAATAAAATGAAATATTTAATATAAAAATCTTGAAAAAGGTAAGATAATACAAAGAGTGATGACAAACCAGATTACTAAACAAAATAGATATCTCTTCCACAGTTGAAGTGACTGATGGCATGGGTTTCCCATGAAAGATCCTTCAGGTCCAGGTATTTGTAACATTTGGTACAGCTACTACAGGAGCTGTAACTTCTTCCTCCTGGTCGTTATCAGATTGGCTGCCGGGCTCTTCCTCTGGAGGCACCCAATTTTCGTCTTCATCGGAGTCTTCACCAAAGTCTGAGTCATTTATCGCGTCTAAAATCGCATCATCGTCAAGTACTAAGTTTCTTCTACTCATGGTAATTGTTTAACATCGAAACAATACCTAAAACGTACCCAAAAAACGTTTTTTTTTATTTGTATGAAAATACTTACTAATTTTGAAGTTCAAACCCAGCCCTCACATTTGTGAGGTTGATTTTAGCGACATTGGAAACCATTGAACTTAACCACCAATCTACTATTTTTAATATTAGTGGCTACTTACAACTCATTCTAAACACAATAAACCAAAAACAAACATGACTATTGCTTACCAGAATGAAAAAATATATCCCAACGTTAACAACTCGCGACACGCTCACCTTGCGCAGTTGCCGACGCACACTGACGGCCAAAGTCTTCACCTATCGCCGCAAAAAAAAATCATAGGCATAAAGGACTACCCGCACAATCGTGCAAGCCCGCCCCCGTTCGCCTGCCGTTTCCGAGTGAGCGTAATAAAAATCGCAAAGTCATACTCACAAAAATGAGTACAGGGTCCGAAAGGGATAAAACCTTTTTTTTATTCAACATTTACAAACCAAATACACTTAAAAAATAAATAAATAAATAAAAAAATAATAAAAATAAAAATAGCCTTTATTCTCTGTTGTACATTTTAAAAATAACTTAACTTAAAATTAAAAATTTTTGGTTTAATCGCTGACATCGGCACGTGTACAATCAGGTTGTCCTTGGACATAGGCCTCCTCCAAATTGGCCCATTGGTTCCTATCTGTGGCTGCTCGTCGCCAACTCTTGGGTAGATCGTCTTCCCATCTTTTGTATTGTCTACCTCTTCTACGTTTACCATCTCGGGGGTACCACTCCATGATATCTTTTGTCCACTTATTCTTCTTCGACCTCATGATAGCCCAGTCCATCTCCATTTCAGTGTTCTGGCCTTTCTGGTTACATCTACCACTTTCGTCTTTTTTCTTATGGCAGAGAGACGAACTTTGTCTTTTAGAAATACACTTAAAAGATCAGTAATTTTAGAAAAGAGATTATTATAGGGAACTGTTCATAAATGAGATTTGTATTAATGTAAAATCTGTTCTAATAGCAAGGAAGGATTTTTCTGTTGTCTCAGCCGCCTTTGCTAATTAACTCATGTCTAATTAAAAAATTAGGAGGTTTATCATCATCTTTAGCCTATTAATGTCCCCACAGCTGGGGCACAGGTCTTCCTTATGGATGGAATAGGGACATTGAACCGTGAACCAAGCAGGTCCAGTATGGATTGGTGGCTGTTACTACTGCAGATGCAGCCGGGATCAACGGCTTAACGTGCCTTCCGAAGCATTGAGGAGCTAGAGGTGATAAGTTTTTGGTCACCCATCCAGTGATCGACCATTGCGAAAGTTGCTTAACTTATCACGATTGCAGGCTGAATGCCCTTACTTATTACCTGAACCTTACCATCGAACTCCTCAAAGAGGCGTAATTTAATTTTAAATAGTTTTTATTAATTATTATTTTAGAGAACTTCATTGTCAACATCAAGTAAGTACCCTTAAAGTTCCGCCATGTCTGTCTGTCCGCAGTTTATCCCAGGTGAGATGGCTTGAAAACAGTTATATTAATACTATACTAATTAACCCTAATTCTAGAGTTTATATTTTATTTTGAATTTCAATAATAGTTAAAATAAGAAATAGATAAATAAATACACGTTATTGCACAACAATAACATAAAAGAACACAGATTACGAAACAAGACAAAAAAAAAACTACTGCTGTCTTATTGTTAATCAGCGAAGTAAAAATTATAATAGGGAGGTTGTGCGGAGTATAAGACAAAGGTTTTGTAAAACTAATTAATAGTTTTTGTATCCTTTAGTTTAAAGGTAAGTAAATGTAGCACAACAAAATACAAAATGGAGCGCAATAGGAAATATAATAAATAATATGACGACCTCCGTGGCTGAGTGGTTTGTACGATGGGTTTCATGGTATCCCCGGGTTCGAATCCCGGTGGGGGCAGATGTTTGTGTAATGAATACGAGCATTTCTTCTCCAGTCTTGAATGTTAAATATTTATTTATATATAAATATACTTATATATGTATTCTATCCGTTTCCCTAGCATCTCATAACACAAGCCTTACAGTACTTACTTTGGGGCTAGGCTAATTTGATTGATGTTAAAAAAAAAGAAAAAACGATGGATGATGTACAGTTGCTAAGAGGCGAGCGCACCACAATTTACGACGTTTGCTCGCGTTCCGCGGTTCTGTGTTCGATTTCCTTTTGAATTAGCTAATGCTTTTATATTGTTTTAAACTTTCATGGTCACTAACATTATAGCTATTAACGGGATTGTTACCATGTACGATCTGATACTGTGAGTATTGTGTGTCGGGAACAGGTGCGAGTGAATAGTGAGAATGTGACCAATGGTAGGGGTATCGAGCGCAGTAAAAGACAAACGTCAGAGGGTAGACCGATATGTCTGATAATAACATCTACCCGCAATTACTTCAGTTACTCCGTGATCATGGCGGTGGTAATAATCCCGTTAATAGCTATAATATGAGGTTTTCTTTAGGTGTTTTAAAGGCGGTTGTTTATTTGTGTCACGTATTTTTTTCCGATTGCTTAATATTACACTAGAAATGCCTCAATCAGTTTACATTGAATCGGATTTATTTATTTTTTCCTTTTGAGGACTTCCGTGGCCGAGTGGTACGTACGCTGGGTTTCAAGGTGTCGCCTCCTCTGAGGTTAAACCCCGGGTTTGAATCCCGGTAGGACAATTGTTAGTATATTGAATACGAGTATTTGTACCTTAGTCATGGATGTTTTTATATATATACTTATTTAAGTATCAATAAATGTATTCTATCCATTACCATAGTATCCCATAACACAAGCCTTACAGTGCTTTCTTTTGGGCTAGGCTAATAGGGGTGAACGAAATTCTATTTAGTCCGTCAGTTAGATGATCAAAAAATAATGGACACGTATTTTTTCTTTAGGCCATCAACCAAAAAATGACAAATATAAAGCGCGGCAAAGTTTGGGAGTAGGGGCTCGTGACGTCACTTTTAAGTGAAAATTGTACCAAAACGTGACGTCATGCGACTTTTCAAATCAATATATCTCTGCAATGTTTATATTATGTAAAAAAAGAAAAAATACGTGTCATAAACTTTTTGAAAATCTACTGGATAAACGAAGAAAACAAAATTAGTCATCATCCCTATTGCACTTAGGACCTTCTTATAACAAGGAAACTGTGTTAATATGGATTAAAGATTTTTGAAATTTGACCTTTATTTTCAATACAGTAGATCA